GTGCCATAAGAACCATGGCACCCATGCAGGCTAAAATATCTCTACCTAGTAGGGGGCTTGGACTCTCTGGCACAATTAGAAAGGCATGAGTAAACAAGAGATCTTCCCAACTACTGCTGAGGGGTTGAGAAAAGTATCAGGTTAAAGGCTGTCCTGAGAGGCCCTTTATAGTTATGCTAAGAAAGGAAAAAATCTTGGATTAGAGAGGAGAACAGAAATTTCCTTGCCAGTATCCAGGAGGAAATTTATTTCCCTCTCTTCAACTTCCAAAATGACCCAGCACTCCTGGGCAGTAATGGTGGTTGGAGCAATTGGAGTCAGGAGGTAAGCCTTGGGCTCCATCAGTCCTGCTGGATATTTCTAAAGTCAGTTTTGAACCTGATAACTTGCGCCTCCAGCAAATCAGGGACAGTCTGATTTCCAATGGTACTCTTTGCATGTTGGACAAAGGTGTGGTGGCAGCCCCTCTCTTGGCTTCCCTCATTGGCAGGGCAGTTATATTTAGAGTTCCCTGGATCACCACATTGTAATTGGTTACAAGAGCCCTTCAGGGATTCTGGGGTTTGTAAGTTTGAATTGTGGCCATTAAAAGTTCTACCTTCCTTTTGTGTTTCCTCTCCTTCTCCTGATTCCTATTGTAAAAGACCAAAGTGGTCACTTTCAGGAGGTTCTCCAAGGTGCTATCTGATCCTATGGCCTGTTTCTGCAGCTTCCTTCTGATGTCAGGAGCTGACTGAGTGATAAATTTGTCCTTTAAGATAAGTTGTCCCTTAACTGACTCAGGAGACAGTGAGGTGTGCTTAATTAAAGCTTCTCTAAATCTCTCTAGCAAGGCAGAGGAATTCTCATCTGGTCTTTGATCAGTCTGGATAGCTTAGAATAATTCAGAGGCTTAGTTCTGATTATTCTTAAACCTTCTAGTATGCACATCTGAAAGTGTTTCCTTCTCCATTCCCCTAGATCACTATTGGGATCCCATCTAGGGTCCCCTAATGGGACTGTTAATTTTCCAGTAGGGTAAGGTTCTTCCCCTTCTTTGTCAATATAGGAGATACGCAGTTCATCCCCAGATTTCTCTGCTGCTTGCAGAGCAGCTTGTTTTTCAGCAATTGTTAAAGTTTTACTCAAGAGCAACAGAACGTCTTTCCAGGAAAGTTCTAACGCTTGAGTTGAGTTTTGAAAAGCATCTATATCTCAGGATCATTTGAAAATTTACCAAGATCCTCCTTGATGTGTCTCAGAACTCATAGGGAGAAAGGAATCTGGATTCTAGTAGGGCCAAATTCACCAGGCATCTCCAGCAAGAGCATGCATGAGGCAGGGGCTTGCTCTGGATAGAAAGCATTGGAGTCAGTAGTTTTGAAGTATAGCAAGGCCCTCGGTAAGAGGTGCAGGAAGGGTTAGGTGAGATGTTTTCAGGGGACACAGGTAGAGCCTTCTCCAGTGGTGCCTCTGGAGCCAGCGTTCCCTGTTTCTTTGGACCATCTGTAGAAAGAAATGCTCAAAGCGCTGAGTCTATTTTACAGTGTTGTCAAAGTTTTGGGTTTTCTTTTAAAGCAAAGAAAGCTTGTATATATGGCGCCTTAGGCCATTTGCCCTCCCTTCTATTTTAATATTGTATTATAATTGATACTTCCCTCTGGAAGCTAGGTCTCCCCATTCTGTAATTTGTAACATGGCCATACCTGGGTGCAAAAGATTTTAAGCTGTTCAATCTTAGTGCTTGAGGATCAAAGGCGTCCCAGTGTGACAGGATGCACTCTAGAGGCATGCACACTATTGATGCAGATGGCCATTTGCCTATCTGAAGTGAGAGAGAAACAAAAGAAAAGCGTTCCTTACTTTTGCTCTCTCTGACCGACAAGCATGAGTGAGATCGAAGGAAGTGGTGGCATCCCACCACTCTCCCTGTCCTCAGATACTCATGATGTCCCCATAGATGCAAACATGACCTCCATTTGTGTGTGAAGGAGGGGCGCTGTTGACAGGATTTAGTGGTGTTTATCTGCGTGAACACCCACCCCCCGCCCCGGCTGAGACTGCCTTTGAACCTCATAGATTGTTGACCTCATTGCCCCATTGGGTCATCCCATATTGAAATCTGAATGATGCACTGGAGTACTAGAATTTGAGCTAGTGCACTCAGAGGGAGTAGTGTGGGTGTTGGAGGAAGGGATACGCATCTGTTCTTTCATTTATACCTTGGTGCTGGGTGTAAATTGGACCAACTGTATGAGTAACATACAAACCAGTCATGGCATATGCATTCCCCTCCCTTCATTTTTTTGAGATGTATCAGTATATTGTTTGTCAGTTGCCAGCACCCACAAAAATGAGAAGGATTAATTTGTAAGTAGAAACCTCTTTTTGTGTGTGACCACTCAAATTGAGGGTATGAAAAGTATCTGATAAGGTGTGCAGATCTATTGAATCTTCTTCAAATGGACTTTGACATATATTAGCTGTTATTTGGCTAGACATTGTTATGGAAGTATCTCTGTTCCACATATGATTTTTAGAATTACAGCTAGGACAGTCTAATTGGAACTTAGGTCTTAATGAGGTGAGAGGATGGACTACCTGAGTTCTAGGGCATAAGGTAGAGAGTATTCCAAGAGGGAGAAGTCCATATTGCCTCAAAAGCTTATATCCTGCAAAGTCTCTTGGGCAGGTGGATAAAGCTTGAAAGGCTACAATGTAGCCTTGTATCCATATCTGTCTTAGACAAAGAAGTGCAAGGGTGTGTGGGGGTGGAGTGATTTGGCCCCACAAAATTGGGCCCAAGAGGAGAAAATTAAAAGCCCACATAGTCATTCGTTTTACATGAGCAAAACTATGTTGATCCTTGACGTGATTAAAGAAGCAGCCCAGATGTAATGGAGGAAGAAAGCTAGGGGAATAATATCCTCCTATCCTAGTTCTTGAGTGATCCCTAACACACCTTAGAATCCAACTTTCTATTTCTACACTCCCCCCGTTCTCAGAAAAAGGCAAAACAACATTGTCCACTGCCACATTCCTTATATCTAAAACACATCCTGCCAAATACCAGCATCTCATCACATTGCATAAAACTTTTTAGGAGCCATGGCAGTTTTGAAGGAAGAAAATGCGATAGGAAAGTTTGGAAGTCTTTTGCCAATACCCTTACCGGCAGTTGGGAATCAGAATCAGTTTGAGAGCCTTCAGATAAGACCAAGGTGTAGCCTTGGCCAGAAAACTTCAATCATTCACATAATTTATCCAGCTCCACTTAACAGCTAGATATATGTGAAAGGAAAGTGGCTCAGAACACAGCCAACATTCCCAGCACCCAAAGGCGATGGCAGATTGACTAAGCCCTTTCCAGCAAGCCTGTCCTCTGTGACTTGTAGAATGACTGCTGCACTATCTGCTTTTAAGTGGCTGACAGAGGCCTGTGTTGGTTTTGAGGGAGAGAAAACTACTTGGAGGACAAGAAGCTTCAGAAATGAAAGTAAAAAGACAGGTCTGCTTTCACTTACCCTTCTGAATTCGTCAATCTGAGTCACGGCACCAAAATGTTGCAGGAGTTTTGGACTCCTCTCAGCTAAAACCAGCAACCTCGGATTCTTTTTCCCATGAACAAGAAGATTAAGGAACATGGTCACCAAAAGGATGAGTGAAAAAAGGAGTTTATTAAGCAACAAAGCTCTCTCCAGAGAAGCGAGCGGGGCCAAAATAGGTTACCTGGTACTAGGAGTTTTTTTGTGTGTGGTTTTTATTTTTTCTTTTCTGGGGATGTTTCTCTCATTTACATCTCCTCTGCCCCTTTCACTTCCTGAGACCCAATTCTTATTGTGCATGCGAGTCCTTGACCAAAGTCACTCCATCTTGACAAGTACCACAGAAAAGCCCACTCGATGGGGTACAACCACAATGCAAATGCTATGTTATTGATACTGCAATAAGCCAAGGTCAAGTTACAACATTTAGTTAAGCTACTGTGCCTGCGTTTAAGCAGCAAAAAGTTCCTTTTAGCAGTACCCCCTGGATTGAAAGGAAGTTCTTAACCACACTAACCACATTTCCAACCAAAAATTAAATAATGGGGATGGTGTAGTGAGTGTTCCCACAAGTGTTAAGTCTTCTTGAGATCCTCCCTCTCTGTCTGTCTTACCAGCTTCTATCTCTTCTCTCACAACCATGTGAGAGAACAACAAATAAGTAGCTCTCTATACTGGGCTAGGGATCTGTGAGAACTTTGGGTTTCTCTTGTACCTAGAATTACAGGCGTTCATGGTGGTGACAGGAGACTTCTGGAGACTTTTTGTTTATCTTTACCTGCATTGTGGATTCTGTCTTTACTCTGAGTCTATTCTAGCCATGTGTTTCGCATTCCTTATTGCGATGCCATCCTGAGTCTCCATTCCTTAAAAAGTCTTTCTAAATTTTTTGTTGAGATTGAGTGTCCTCCCTTGGACACTCTACTCAAAGTGTGCTTATTTCTTGTTTCTATACTTCTTTGTGAAGGAAGTGAGCATTGAACCCCTTTAGTCAGCCATCTTGATTCATAAAATTTTTCTTTGAGATATCATTTACAATAATAAAATATTGTCATTATTTAGAAATCTTATTTTTGTCTACATAAATTGATATTTATTTAATAATAATATTAAAAGACTTGAAGATATGGATAAGTACTTATGATGTAAAAATTTTAAATATGAAAATGTGTAGTACAAATTTTTTAAATAAAATAAGATTAAAATAAATTGCACTACATTATAATTGATCTATTTATTTAGCATGAAATAATGAGTAATTTTATTACCATCTCTTGCTTTTTCTATAGAGAAAATACATAAGGTTTAAATTAAGTAGTGTGAAAATAAATACAGAAATCAAAAGTCATGCTATAATTTTAGTTACGTTAGAAGAAATACACAAAATATACCTTAGTATATTTTGATAATAAGTAAATTTATTTGTTTGATTAACATTTGACTTAAAATATTTGACTTCATTGTTTTTGTTTGTAGGAGTGCTCTCATAAAAAATGTTGTAATCCTCAAGATTGCACTCTGATTGGATTTGCAGAATGTGGCTCTGGACCATGCTGCAGTAAAAACAGATGTATGGTAATCTGTCAAAATATTTTATTATTTTCTTTAATAGTTTTTTTGATTTTTTTATGAATTCTCTTTAAAGTTTTTAGCACATCTTTCAAGTATTTTACTTTATACTTTCAGTATTAGGCTTTCATTTTGAGGTCTACTCTCTAATACCTTAAAAAGATTTGTTTTACATTCTTTACTGTTTCTTAGAGAAAATTTTTAGACAATATGTATTATTTCGTAGAGATATATATTAAATATATTTTATAATCTTTACAGTAATTTGTTTATTTTCAAGTTTATTATCCAGTTTGATAGTAGATAAAAAAAACTCAAATTATGTATGAGTGATTTTAGGATTCAGAGGATGTTCTTAAGTCTCTTTCAACCTACTTATCTCTGCTTCTTTTTTTTTTTTGAGTAGATTTAATCTTCACTGAAGACTCATCCAGTTATTACACCCAATAAAAATTCCAGATTATTTGGGTGATGTGAATTACTCCTAGCCATGACAGAACACAGCTCTACATTGTTTTAAAAATGTATGACAAAATTATATTTTTTAAAAAAACACTACACACACTAGTTCTATGTTCAGATAGACAACAATATTAAAAACTTTCATTAGAAAATATAATTAATGTAGAATAGTTACTAGTATGCAGCATATCAAATACTGAAGTGTAGCTTTCACAATATGTTCCTCTTTACTGTTTATAGGCAAGTATTAAAGCCAATCAGTAGTTACTTATTTTTAAAATTCTTGACAGTAGAGTGCAGTCTAAGGTTTCTACTTCTCTTCAGCAGACCTTGTTGATTTTTCATTCACCAGTATGAGTATGCTTGTCTTGGTCTTTGTCTTGAAATCACTGGTACTGAACAGTTAAGATTTTCTGTCTAGTTCATTGCTTTCTACCTGCATTCTAAAGTGTAGTTCATTCAAATGGAAATAATTGCTTCGTTTAGTAGAATAAAACATTATGGTATCAGTAGCAAGGAAGGGCTTCAGCGATGACAACTTAATGTACTTAACTTGGTACACAATATATTTAGTACACATTAATTTTCTTATGCATAATAGTATATAATTTGACTTTTGTTGTTGCTCAAAGGCTTACAAGTATCTTACACTAGGCTTTCATTTGATTTGCCATAAGTGTTCTATTTTCTTTTTTGTCTACTTTCAAATTGGTCAATTTGCCTAACATTTAGAGTTTTGATACAATTCTTTTTCTTATAAGTTTTTAGCTTAGAAAGACACAACTCGATGTGCAAGGATAAGAAAGACTGTTTATGCAGCTGTTTTTTTTTTTTCTTTTTTTTTAACACTTAAAATTGATTAATCAGTACTTGGATATGCCTATAGGTAATCTAAAAAAAAAAAAAACTCCTTTAATTGGGACTTCATAATACTGATTATATATCGGTCAGTTGTATCTTGGTGATGAATGGCCAGCAAATAAAAATAAACACATACTTAAGAAGTTTAAGTTGAAAACAGGTATGGCTTTTATGCTCAGGTGTATCTGTTTCAAACAGTCACAACAAGATATTTATTCTATGCGTTCCTTGGATATTCTTGCTCTTAAGCTTATAATTCTCACACAAGTAAGTATCTAGGCATACATATACATAGGTCATGGCGACTCCTTATTTTATTTATACATGGTATGCAATGCTTCAGAAAAGTAGAGAGATTTGTTCTCTATTAACAATCACCTCAATCATAGGTAGTAAAAGAAAACCTGACTGAACCTGACAAATATATCTTTGCTTTTCTTTATCTGACAGATTGTTGATAGAGGACCTATATGTAGAAGAAGCACAGATGTGTGTGATTTTGCAGAACATTGCAATGGAACATCTGAGTTTTGTGGGCCAGATGTGAAAGCTGCTGATTTACAGCCATGCAATAATGAGACAGCCTATTGCTATAGAGGAATATGCCAAACTACAGACAGACAGTGTACAGCCTTATTTGGAAAATGTAATAGTTGTGTTTTTTTCCCTGGGGTTCTTTTTAAACTGTAGTTATTCAAATGTCAATAGTTCACTTTATAGTCATACTGGAAAGTGTTTTAAAGCCAAATTTGAAAATAAAATTGCAAATCAAGGCAACCTTGAATGATGTTAAAAAGTGAAAAATAAACCTAATAACTATAGGACGCAAATGATAGGATATTTGTCAATTTTAAGGTGGTCGTTGGAAAGAGAGTAAACTATCACAATAGTAGTTGAGAGAGCAAATGACTATTTGATTGCTTAATCATTGCTGCACTATAATACAAATTATACTGCTCTTCAGTGGGTAATTTCCAGTAAGTATTTTTTTTTAAATAGCAAGTAGATGACACCAAAAATTTGTAGCAGATGACACTGACTGGGTATTATTGTTGTCTAGATGCCTTTATACTGATTTATCACACTGTTAGCTTTGCATATTTTTAATATGAGTAACCGGAATTTATTATGTTTTCAGATGCTAGAGGGTCTACTTATTTGTGTACAGAAGAAATTAATTTCCAAAATGACAAATATGGAAATTGTATTACTGGTCGTTGTAATTTTAAGTATGTATTTCAAAAATTATTCATTTTTATTCATTTTCCAAATCCTTGTGTTTAGTTTTTGTGCATATACTGCAAAGTCACTTAATACAAATAAAAGATAAACCAATATATACAGATATATTTATATGTTGCACTTCATAAGACAGTGTATGCTTTGAATAGCTTTAGTAAATTTTGAATTATTCTTCTCTTTTGAGTTGCTGTTTATCTAAAATATTGTGTACCTACGTGACAAATAGGTAATTTTTTTTGGTCTTATGTTGCCAGAAATACCCTTTGTGCAAAATTAGTTTGTGACTGGACACGTACAGATTTACAACCAAGAGAGTTCACCAGCAATTATGATGTACAATATACTTATCTTGGAGGCCATATATGTATGTCTGCACATTTAAAAACTACTGGAATGGCGGATAGAACCAGAATAGCTGAAGGAACTGTTTGCGGTCACAGTCAGGTAAACACAGTTTTTACTAGATACCATATATGGTGGATTTGCATGTGAGTATCTGGAGTATGTGTTAGTGTTCGTGTGTGTGTGTGTGAGAGAGAGAGAGAGAGAGAGAGAGAGAGAAAGAGAGAGAGAGAAAGAGAGAGAGACAGAGAGAGAGAGAGAGAGAGTGAGAGAGAAAGCAACCATGCACTTAAATTTTCATTTAAAATTAGTGCTACAAATTGTGATTACCATGATATTGAAATACAATGATCGAATTTATGTTGGAGAAAGGACTTCTTGCTTTACTATCTAAATTTATTTTTATTATAATTTTTACTATATATATTTAGACTTATTTCCTCTCACTTGAGAATCTAACTGTTCTTATTAGTCTAGTATCTGGTCTGCAGTGATTTTTGCAAATAAAAAACAAAAAGGAATAAAATCATATGAGGAAGAAAAGTTAGAACAACATGAACATTAAGAACATTTAGGAATTAAAGAAACAAAAAACTGGACTTGGAAGCTCAGCCTGTAATCCCAGCACTTTGGGAGGCCGAGGCGAATGGATTGCCTGAGTCCGCGGGTTCAAGACCCATCCTGGCAACTTGGTGAGACCTCATCTCAACAATACATCAAAAATTAGCCGGGTGTGGTAGTGCATACCTGTAGTTCGGCTACTTGGAAGGCTGAGGCTGAAGGATCGCTGGAGCCCAGCAGGTCAAGGCTGCGGTGGCCGGGAGAGTGCCACTGTACTCCAGTCTAGGCGACAGAATGAAATGCCAACTCAAAAAACAAAAAGAAAAAGAAAAAGAAACAAAAACAAATATTTAATCTTATAGTAATTGACAAAGAATATTAACTTGGTTATAATTTAGCTAAAACATTAATTTTCTTATCAATCTAGTTTCTTAATACTTTAGCATAATATTTCCTTAAAAATATGAATTTGGCATGAAATATGATATTAAAACATAGAGTATAAGTTTTATTTATTTTTCTTACAAATTTTGAAAAACCTAATAAAGACTTTTCAAACTAGTGACATTGCAAACTGGTTGACTATTTAAAAAAACACAATTTATTTCTCAGTCATATGCCTTATTTTATAAAATTTTTCCTTGCATTTGTATAGATGTAATATATATGTAACAAATATCTAATATATATGTAAACACCTTTAGTGTGTTATGTGTTTGTAAGCATATTCAAAAACATGTACACAGTTGTCAAATATAAAAAATAAATATGTGCGAAATTATCATATTCAATAAAAATAATTTATACATAAATACATTATGCTTTCATGGAAAACAGCAGTAAAATGTAAAACGATATAAGAGTAAAATGTAAATAGTAACTTAGCTCAACGGGAAAAGTTATTCTCACATAAAAATAATGACACTATCATAAACATGCTGACTCAATTATTTTGTAAAGTAATATGTCATCTCCACAAAGCTCACTTAAAACACTGAGTAAATACTTATTATGAGATAGAAGTATAAGTTAAAAGTTTATTAACTAACTCTATCAACAATCCATCAGGAAAAAACACTAAAACGGTGTATATATGTGGTATAATACAAGAAAACCTATTTAATGTTTGTTACTGATTTCTGGCACACAGCTTCTAATAAAACCCTTGAAATTTCCTAAGTGATAGACATGTCTTTTGCTATTCATAATAAACACCCTTCAATCAGACATGAAAATTCATTCATTTCCATCAACCTTGGTTGATGTTCATGAAGTGACTTAGAGTAGAACCCCTAGCTGGCCTCAGGACAGGGCTAGTTATGAGAATCAAGTGCTTAGAGGGTTGAAGTTTTTATCCCAACTCCGGAACTTTTGAAGAAGGAAGGTGGGGCTGGAAATTGAGTGTTATAAAAACTCCTGAACAAAAAGGTTAAAGATCTTCTGACTTGATGAACCTGTCAACTTGCTGGAGGGTGGTACACCTCTTCGCCTCTCCTCCAGTACCTTCCCTTGTATACCTTATCCACTTAGCTGTTCTTGTGTTATATCCTATATAATAAGTCAGTAAAAGATCAGTAAAGTGTCTTCCTGAGTTTTGTGAGTCAATCTAACTTTTTTTTTCATCCTGTGGGAAAGAGTGAGGGAGTGGTAGGAGCCCCCAATGTGTATCTGCTCTGTCGGAAATACAGTTTGCCTGATACTTGCTATTGGCATCTGAGGTGGGGGCAGTTTTAAAGGACAGAAACCTTTAACTTGTGGAATCTGAAGCACTTTGGTCAGTTTTTGTGTTGCCATATGGAAATACCTGAGGCTGGTAATTTATAAAGAAAAATGGTTTATTTGGATTACTGTTTAGCAGATTGTACAAGAAGCAGGGCACCAGCATCTGCTTCTGCTAAGAGCTTCAGGTTGCTTCCCCACATGGTAAAAAGGGAATAATGGAGTGCTAAGATTACATAGTGAGAAAAGAAGCAAGAGAGAGAGAGAGGAGGGTGGTGTGGCTCTTTTTATAAAACAACTACGTCTCATGGAAACTTAGAGAATAAGAAAAGAACTCACTTATTACCCAAAGATGGCTCCAAACCAGTTGTATGACCAAAACCTCTCATTGGGCACAACCTCCAATATTCAGAATCAAATGTTGACATGTGGTTTAGAGGATTAAATATTTTAACTATAGCAATTATCCTAATTCCAGGTAGACAGTGAGATAATTTAGATAGTGTCAGAATTGAAATGCTTTTTCAAACACCAATTCAATAACTGAGAACTGATTGGCATCAGAGGCAAGACTGCACTGAATATGCTAACAAATATATAACACACTGAATGTGTTTATCTATATGTTTTACATATTTATTACATATATATTGCATCTATACAAATGCAAGAAACAATTTTATAAAATAGACCATATGACGGAGTATAAAAACTTTTCTCTTAACTTGTGATTAAATACAAAGTAAATTACTATCCAAAATTGCTTAGTATTACCAAATGGGCATTGAAAATAATATTTGATAATGAGAAGTATATCTTATTATTATCCTAAACCAAGTATAAATAAGCACATACTATCTGAAAAGTGATTTAGAAATGTATAAGGAGTAAAAAATAATTATATATTTTTATCTATTTCTAATATAATGCTAAATTAATTTTTAAATATTAAAAAATATGCTTGGTATAGAACAATTATAATGTGAGTTATAGTAGAGAAAAAAATCAAGGCACTATAAATGCCAATTTACTTATAATTGGTGACATCAAGTACAGTATATCCTAAATGGACCAGAGGTGCAAAAATAATACCAGAGGTGCAAAAATAATACCAGAGGTGCAAAAATAAAATGTATACACATTTAAGAGATATTATCTATGAATCACTTTTCATGTTGAATTGCAGTTGCAATATACAGTATGACACTGGCTCAATAGATGGCCATAATTAAAGGAACGCCAGCATCGCCAGGTGCTATCTGCAACAGGCAGGACAAAACAGGACAGTCAAAGAAAAAGGTGGAAGTTTGTTGCTCAAGGAGTGCAAAACCCTTTTGAAGTGGTGTCTGAAATTCGAAAACATTGTGGAAGTTCAATGACAATGGAAGCTTGAGTATGCAATAGCACCTCCAATACGCCTAACAATGGCACACCTTCAAGATAAATTTGAGAAGTTTAGTACTGTGTATGATGTGCTCAAGGGAAGATCCGGAAAGCCTTGTCCTACTTGTTGGAACAATTTGCACACTTGCCCCTGAAGTCTACCAAGATAATAAACATGTGAGACAGGAGCTAGCAGAACAAGCATACGATGCAGTCTTAGAATAGCAAAGTGGAAAATTTGCATCGCAAGACTATTATTCTTAAAATGTGAACACATTTTTGCACCCTCTATATTTCTCCTGTAACATATTTGAATATTTTTAATGACATGGAAGCGTATATGCCGTATTATGGTTAGTGGAAAAGCAAATCATAACTTGTAGAACATGCATTTCAACTGTTTGAATTGCACTGACACATGGAAATTCTATGAGCTGTGATTTCTACTAAAGCATAAATAATTTGCCGGACTAAAGTTGGCTTGCTGGATGTCCCCAACCAAAAACTGAAACAATCTTGTACCTTTATATTCTAGTTATTATACCTTTATGATAGGTTAAAAAATAAAGCTTTCGGCCGGACTCGGTGGCTCAGCCTGTAATCCCACGGTTTGGGAGGCCGAGGTGAGTGAATTGCCTGAGTCTGCGGGTTCGAGACTTGCCTGGGCAACTTAGCGACACCTCATCTCTACAATAAATCAAAAAATTAGCCGGGTGTGATAGCGCACGCCTGTAGTTCCAGATACTTGGAAGGCTGAGGCAGAAGAATCACCAGAGCCCAGCAGGTTGAGGCTGCGGTGACTGGGAGCGGCCACTGCACTCCAGTCTGGGCGACTGACTGAGACTCCAACTCAAAAAAATTTAAAAAATTAAAATAAATAAAAATAAATAAAGCTTTCAAATGAAGTACTGCATCAAGTACTAGCATCAAGTACTTCAGCACCGATAGCATTTCAGAGCATTTAAAACCTAGGAAGGTCTAATAAAAGGTACAAGAGATGGTATTTACACTGACTACTACTTAGCATTATTTGAGAATAAAAAATATGCCTATGTAAACAAAAAATAAAACACCCTTATGAATTGGAAAGCTCAATACTCTAAAGATGTAAATGTCTTCACAATTAATGGTGAATATGATATCATTAAAATTAAAATCTCAGCCAGTTATTAATTTTGGAAGGGGAAGGATACTAACAAACATTTAAAAGGTCATATGAAAATGTCATTGGTGAAAAATACATAATAAACAATGCAATTTCAAATAAGAAAAATGACAACTGAAATTTCACTCTACTAAATATCAAGAATTACCGTAGACAAAAAAATTAAGAAAATGAATTATTGTTAATGAAGATTGAAAAACTGACTTATAGACAAAAACGGAAAATATTTCAGGAAAATTGTTGATTAAAAGTTGTAATACATACTTTCAACGAA